TTTAAGCTCTCTGATTATTACTAATAAGAGTATAACTAGCCATACATGCAACTTTTGGTTACCTATTTAAGTAGTCTACTCTAGGTTTTACACTAGCTGCCATACCTGCACCCAACTATAGAGGATACCTATTTAAACTCTCTGGCTCTATTTCTGTAACATACCTACCTTAACACTCTTATTAAGATTAGCAATGCCGTAGAATGACTCTAAAACTTTAGCTACATGAGTATTCATTCTTGTAGTAAACCTAACAAAATAGTATATGTCTCACATGTACTCACCTATGTGTTCAGTAACTTTTCCCCAACTAGTACCTGTTGTGCTGCCATTACTGGGTTCATATCTCATAATATCTTTTTGGATACTGCTATAACCTATCTCAAGCTACAACCTTCTGAATTAGTTCTTATTTATGTACTCCTGCCCTTGCAAGGTTCACAACAACCCTGGTACCTGCATTCTAACTTTCTTCTTTTCTGGATTCTTTACTAGTTCCTTTCTTACTTCTAGTTAGTAATCCAGAAAGGTTAGTTAGCCCAGGCTCTAAGTGCCTTATAGTCTTTCTCTCCTTGGTATATGCTTCCAGAGTACAAGTTCTTTCCTCTAGTAGTAAGCTGGCAGTTTGGCTAGTGTGTCCTCACTGGTTACTCAGTTTTCTAATCTTGGTCTCCAGTTCCAAATTCAGTCTTTCTAAAGCACTGTCAAAGATCACTGCTACTTCCCAACTCGAGGCTTGCCAAACAGGTTTTTGGTTATTCAGGTTCCTTGAATTTATGTGCCAAATCTCCCATTCTAAATAGTATAATCAAGGTTACAGATTAGAATCCAACCAATCATGATAGCCATTAATCATATCACAGAACTATTTTTTAAAAATGTTATTCATGGAATTCGAACTCTAAATCTGCCATCTGGGAGTATATATATATTATAAAATATCTAGAGTATATATATAAACAAATATTTGTATTAAAAATATAACTTTATATTATCTTATAAATTAAACTTAAAAATTTAAGATATAAAAAAGTTAATATATAAATTTATAATTAATTTATGGAAATTTCTAGACATCTCTGGCCAGAGATATATAACTTATATATCTCTGTCCTTTCCAACCAATTAAAACGCAGCAAGATCACATGACCACCATTTAGTATATTGATCCGACTATCGATATAAGTCTGGAGTATTTGACAGATTAGCCGATCATATTTAGATTATTTTTTTTTTTAACTAATTTTGGTGGGTTTTTTTTCAGGTTTTTTAAAAGCTTCGCTAGAACATAGCAAATGTGTGGTGGCAGTTTTGGTAAGATATTTGGTTTTTTTGGTCGATCTTTTTTCTTTTTTTAGTTTTGTTTACTAATGTCGCTCTTCTTTGTTTGAGTTTTTGGGCTTCGCCAGACATGAATCAGTGCCCAGGCAAACGTATAAATAACGCTTTTGGGAAGGTATATATTTTCCTCTTTGTTATTTTTTATTCGCTTTTTTTCTACTACACTATTCTTTTTTCAGGTTTTTAGGCTTCACTAATATGAATCAGCGCCGGGTGAATGTATAAGTGCGAAGCGGCACCTTCGAAGGTATGTAGTTTCTTCTTTGTTCTTTTTTTAGTTGCTTGTTTACTACTAACTTCACTCTTCTTTCTCCAGGTCTTTAGGCTTTGCTGGGCATGAATCAGCACCAGGAGAACATATAAATGCAGAAGTAGCATGTTCAAAGGTATTTAGTTCTCTTTTTTGTTTAGTGCGTGTTTATTACTAACTTTACTCTTCTTTCTTCAGATTTTCAGGTTTCGCTTGATGTGAATCAGTACCGGGAAAAGTATAAGCGGCAAGTATGTAATTTATTCTTTGTTCTTTTCTTAGTTGCTTGTTACTACTAATTTCACTCTTTTTTCTCCAGGTCTTTAGGCTTTGTTGGACGTGAATCAACACCGGACAAACATATAAGTGCGAAGTGGCACCTTCGAAGGTAGTAGTTTTCTTCTTTGTTCTTTTTTTTTGAGTTGCATGTTTACTACTAACTTCATTCTTCTTTCTCCAAGTTTTCAAGCTTCATTTGACTTGAATCAGCATTGGGAAAAGTGGCACCTTCGGGAAGTATATAATTTCTTTAATCTTTTTTTTAGTTGCTTGTTTCTACTAACTTCACTTTCTTTCTCCGGGTTTTTAGGCTTCGCTAGATGCGAATCAGCACCAGGCAAATGTATAAATGCGAAGTGGCATCTTCGAAGGTATCTTCTTTGCTCTTTTTTTTTTAGTTGCATGCTTATTACTAATTTCATTCTTTTTTCTCTGGGTTTTCAGGCTTTGTTGAGTGTGAATTAGCACCGGAAAAGTATGTAATTTCTTCTTTGTTCTTTTTTTTTAGTTGCTTGTTTTTACTAACTTTAATTTTCTTTCTCCGAGTTTTCAGGCTTCGCTAGACGTGAATCAGCACCGGGTGCAAAGTGGCATCTTCGAAGGTATTTTTGCTTTTTTTTTTCAAGCTTCGTTGAACGTGAATCAGCACCAGGAAAAGTGGCACCTTCGGGAAGTATGTAATTTCTTCATTGTTCTTTTTTTTAGTTGCTTGTTTCTACTAACTTCACTTTTCTTTCTCCGGGTCTTTAGGCTTCACTAGACATGAATCAGCATCAGGCGAACGTATAAGTGTGAAGTAGCACCTTCAAAGGTATGTTGTTTTCTTCTTGGTTCTTTTTTTTAGCAGCATGCTTACTATAACTTCACTCTTCTTACTCCAGGTTTTCAGGCTTCGTTGGACATGAATCAGCACCGGGAAAAGTATAAGTAGCACCTTCAGGAAGTATGTAGTTTCTTCTTTGTTCTTTTTTTAGTTGCTTGTTTATTGCTAATTCCACCTTCTTTCTTCAGGTCTTTAGACTTCACCGGACGTGAATCAGCACGGACAAACGTATAAGTGCAGAAGTAACACCTTCTAAAATATGTAGTTTTTTTTTTTTTTTTTTTTTGGTTGCATGTTTACTACCAACTTAACTCTTCTTTCTCCGGGTTTTTAGGCTTCATTGGACATGAATCAACGTTGGTTGAGACATACAAGTACAGAAGTAGACCTTTAAAGGTATGTAGTTTTCTTCTTTGTTTATTTTTAGCTGCATGTTTACTAATAACTTCACTTTTCTTTCTCCAGATTTTTAAGCTTCGCTGAATGTGAATTGGTGCCGGGTGAATATATAAGCAGTAGCATGCTTTGCACTTTTCTGTAGTTTTTTTTTTTTTTTTTTTGCTTTGTACAAAATTGTGAGGTTATTATGTTGTAATAAAATTATTTAATAAATTAAATAATCTTGTATTATGATTTTGTGATTTGATAAAGGCTTGAATTTTTAAAGTTCCATATGTTAACAATTTTGATAATTTCAATGATGTTTTGATCGAAGTTGCGATTTCTATATAATAGACATTTTTAAAAATTCTTAAAAGATCGAAAATATTGTAGTACCTACTCAATCAAATTCACTAAAAAATTTTTTATTTAAATTCTATGGATTCATAGAATTCAAATAAAAAAATTTTCAGCGAATTTGGTCAAGTGGTTGTGGGGATATCTTCACTCAAAGTTTTTAAAACAATTGGGCACAGCTTCTATTTTAATAGGTGTTTTGACTTTACCCAAACTTTGAGTGAAGATATCTTCACAACCACCTGACAAATTGCCAAATTTTTTTTTATTTGAATTATATGAATCCATAGAATTCAAATAAAAAAATTTTAAGCGAATTTGGTCAAGTGGTTGTGG